GAAGGAACCTTATCAACTCGTGACTTTTTGATTTTTGATTTTCCACCTCACCCTTTTTTTGTGAAATGAATAGGAATAGCTGTACAGTATTCAAAAAATCTAATCCACACTGAGCCTTTGATTCCATCAATTCAGAAAAAAAGAGGGAGAAAGAAGAGGAAAGGGCGAGGGAAAAGCCATAACTGCACAGAGAATGTAGATGAAAAGGAACGCCATCACTTTAACATCCATTGAAAATTCTGGAAATACTGGAAGGCGCACATGGACGGCCGTCTGGGCAACAGCTGGCATTTGAATCAGTATTTCTTCCTCTTCAAGAAGACTAGGTACTGACCGTCGAGAGAAAAATTGATCTATCCTGAGTAGAATCTAATCCTATAAGTCAGACAAGCACATCAAGATACATCAGTGCTAGACTTCCTCCTAGACCAGGATTCCTATGTAAAAAACGAGATCCGAAAAATAAAGTTGGAACAGGACGCTCTAACATAACTAACAGTAACTATCCAATGTCTAACTGACTGCTTGGAATGAAAGAAAAAGTACGGCCGTTCATGGCATTTCGAAAATAATGAATTTTGTAGAAGGTAAAGACGGAAATACCATTCGCCCAGACTGGAACTGCCCACAGCGAAACAGTCCCAGCTAAAGCACCTGGCAATGTCGGGGTAGCTCAAAAAATGTGAAATAAATTTAATAGTATTTCCCTTTAATGGCAAGCATGGGACTGAGAGAAAGATGGAGACAGAGAGCGCTGGGAGCAGTTTCTAGCACCGCTCATGTCCTGGAGACTACTGAATGAAATATGGGACACCTTAAAAGAAGTATTGAGATTGAAAATGATGCATTAGAGTTAGAAGGAAGTTTTGGATGAAAATCTGAAATTTTCAAGTCGTTACGTCATTCATCGTTGGGCGATACCGGCACCGAATGCTTTCATTTACAAGGTGCCGCAAGAACACTGAGCGCAATGTTTGTGGGAACCCGGAACCGGTAGGAGTAACCGATCTCTTCAAGATTGCGCTACGGCCCCGCAGCAGAAAGAAAACGGCTGAAAGATTCGCGGGGAGGTGGGGTGGCTATTAAAGTGCAAAGAAGTAGGCATTGAGGATACACTAGCGACAGAGAAAAGCGGATTGCGCAGATGGGAGGGGCAGATCCAGTGATACAGGTAGATAGAACACATAAGGGCTCGCCGGAGATGGCTGGACGGGTCTCTCCATAAGTGAATCGTCCGCAAGCCGCTATCAGAAGGCGACACGGAGGATAATGCATGCGGGGAAATGAGGGTGTGGTCGAGTTTAGTGCCGCTAGACATGCAAGTAGCAAGGTCATCCATAACAGGCTATGGGATTCTCAGGCTTCGGACATGGCCGGAATTCAGTGAGGACATCGGTCAACTGAAAGCGATGAGGTGATTAATACACTACGATGTACGATAATGAACCACCACCCGTTGTAATGGGCATATGTTCACGCAACAACGACACTGAGCTGAGGACACGTTGGTGGCATTGGTGGCGTGGCTTTCAGAGGTAGAATGGCAGTTTTAATTGCAGGAAAGACGATAAAACAAAACAGGAGTGCTTTAAAATTCATGGAATGATAGGTCCATTAAACACATCAAGTACCCTCTGGTTTGCACTAAACTTCCGAGGAACTCATATCTAGCTTCCCCTGGGGACTGTATAGGTAAGGGCGCAAAGCAACTGATTTCATAAAATTGGTTTCTCAAAAGAACTGATTAGCATATCCAATCTTAACTTCATAGAATGAGTTAGGAATCGCTGTATCTCCATACTCTCTCGTCAGACCTCCGGCCCCGAATTCACATCCTGCATTTCGCTATCCGCACCACCCCTTTCCTACTAAATATTCAATAAAAAAACCAATATTTGATTCAAACAGGTGCTTGGTCTAGCATTGAAATGATCTACGAGAAGTTCGGTCTGTTCCTGGAAACGTTGCTTTCCCTTCACAGTATGTGCTGGTGGTTAGAAATATGGCGCATGCAAAAAATCAGTGGATTCGCTACTTAACTACTTATAAAAATGATAATTTAAAGGACAGTCATGCGGTTCAGAACATTTCTCTTAAGCCTCCAAGGTTTCTACTTTTTAAAGGGCCCTCTTAAGCGGAGCCTATTGGGAGAGTCTGTGTTTTTCCGAAGGTTCATTAATCACTTTAGACACCAGTTCACGCAAGCAAATGAAAAAAACCTTCTACTGCACGCTTAGAAGCAATGAGAGAATTATAGAGAAAGGGAGATCGTCCCGTGGTGCTTGGTAAACCTCATACCGGACCATTAAATTTTTTCCAAAACCTAATAGGTCACTTTGACGAATATTTCAAATTCTGCCGATGAGTAAATTACTGTTCCGGATTTCAATCCCATGACAGAAGACTTCTTTACTAATCTATCATGACGATACGAAATGATGAAGACATATCGAAACATGTAGAGGCTGAATGAATGCAAAAATCGGATTATTCAGGAAAAAATGCCGTAGGAATGGCAGAAGCCGAGGGTTATTCTAGTCAAAGTATCATTAGAGCTTATGAATGACCAATAATTGAAGACAAAGAGATATTTCGAGATTACAATAAACAATTGTGGCGAAGTAGGTGGCGATGAAGAAGGATCAACAAATGGGTCAAATGTCAGCCAGATGAACTGATTACGAATGCCTATCCACTTAGAAATGAGTACACTGAAGTAGTAAGGAATCTCCTGGCAAAAACTTGGCCGATTCAAACGAATTGGGTTACATAATGAGTGTGTTGGACATTGGGGACCAGTTTATATACTTGGTCATCCCTATTCTCTTTCCTAAGTCATTAACTTTGAGCTTTCGTACCGAAAGTTCTCACTCCTTTCCGCGATCTCTTTCCTTCCTCTAAATTGACCTTCCATCGAAACCACTTCGACTTTAACCTTTAGGTACTTCTACCGCAGAATATGTTGAAGATGCTAATCTGCGGGAAGGGCTGTAGTTGCGGTTCCATGGGAAGAATCAGACCTGATCGGTCAAGATTCGCTACGAAGTCGAGCAACTGACGCCCGATCTATCTGTCTGAACAAAGCCCTCAAGTGAGCATTAACCGATCTCAAAGACGATTCCTCAGCCAAAAATCCACAGAGACATCCTTTTGGTTCGATCGAAATTCCGGTGCATGGCGCATCTCGAACGATCGCCTCTCCCGTCCCCTTCATTGTCGGAGAACACTCACTTCAAATCAGTGCTTCTCCACTTTTACCCCTTAGGTCCCATGTTCATTTAACTGAATACGATAATTCTTCTCACCATAAAACCTCAATGGTGCTATTCCCACATCGACTAAACGGTACCGCCAAAAGCTGTAATTAAAGCGGCTCAAATAAAATGCAGAAGGGCAGTTTTTTAATTCAGAAACCTGTACCAAAGAGGACTGGTAACAAGGAACAAAGACCAATTAACAGAGGTCATCGAGAATGTCCGATAAAACTTTAAGGCCGAAATCTAGTATGAGGAGAATATAAACAGAAAGCCGAAAAGCAATAATTACAAGGATCTTCTTCTGAGAATGAAGAAGTAATGGTAGTTTCTACTGTTATAATGAAAATGAAAGGGACTGGATGACGAGCTGTTGTGTCACTCCTCTGTTCAAAGGTTTTCGTCTCTTTACAATTAGAGAAAAATTCAGTAATAATTCGAAGCCATACAAGGTTAATGACAACTTGGATATGGACACGCCGCTAACTAACAAGCCATACGGTCAAGGTAGAAATGGCAGTTCGAAAAGATGATGAAAAAAGGGAACCTGAAGAGGTCCAAACCACAAACAGCTTTGGAACGCCTGACAAACGACGCCTAATTGGGTATTCAATCAATATGAGGGTGAGGTGTGGAGGGCTGAAGCGAGGCGGGACCAATATGGTCGGGTGACCGGGACCAGGTTATCTGTAATTACCGAGCACGGGCACAGGGTGTCTGACAAGGATTATGGCACTCACTTACGCGGGCCTCCTCATTACAAAGATATCCGGTAGTGAAAAGACGGGGTTCGCGGAGACAGTAATTTATTGGGCAATGGGGAGACGCTTACTCCTAAAATCAACTCCTCAACAACATTAAAGTCATAGGAATAACTGAAGTAAACTATAGTCCGTCGATTTCCTGTGATCGTGTTCATCTAATAGATGATACAAAAAACTGATGATAAGGAAGAAGTTGACGAAGTTGATTCACCCAAAAAACATATTTTATTAGTGCCTGACCATGGTGGTATAAAGTCTTCTGGGAAAGCTTCTGAGGCCCTGCTGACGCTGCGCCACGCATTTGACTTTGAGGATCAGACCTGGGAATGTTCAGCCCCGACGAACTTTTGGACAACGTCCACAAGCACAGTTCATTCCATGCACCCGTAAGCTTTGGCCTTCTCAGACACCATTCAACGAAATTCTTATATCGTGGAGGTAAATCCCCAATCACCAAGGAATTCATGGCAGTATCTTTCGAAATTATCACCCTTCCACTCAGCCTGTTTCATACGTTATGCCTTCAAGAACCACCTACTGTCCAGGCCAAAAGAAGAATTCAGATTCCCTACAGCATAAGACTTGTCTCCCATGAAACCAAACCATTCTACTTAAGCACCATTACAACTTTTTTTTTACAAAAAGACCAAGTATTCCGAAAAAAACCGCACAAGAGTAGCGTGCTCTAGTAATACCAGCACTTCTGAACGCTTCTTCATATGGACGAAGGGATTATCCCCATGAAGGTAAACTACGATTACGCGGAGTTATTGCGTAACGGTTGCGTGTGCCTAATTCTTCGTAGCGACTCGTTTGTGCAGAGTGATTAGATAGATAAGGGGGAATATACCTGAAAAACTTCAATAAGTACTTAATAAAGAATGTTTATCAATAATAATAAATACTTCAGGAAGTTAACTGTTCGATACTGACGAACGGCGGTGGGTTCGTGAGGTCTTTGAAAGGGGAAAGCTTCTGTGGATCAGGCTTCGAGGTTCAAAAAGAAGTAAAGGTGAGCATGAAGTACAATAGTAATGACCAAAAGCAGCAGACGAAGGGTCAGAGCGGCAGGTGCACGGAATAATCCGTTTCGCTGCACATGTCTCTCCCCATCAGACGATGTTGCAATGATTCGGGCGAAGTGCCAGAAATCGGAGGTATCTGGAATTGGCCGCTTTTGCTGAGCGATGGACAACAGTAGCAGTGCCTGGACAAAGAGGAGACGAGAATGAACGAAACCACATGGTGACAGATGCGTTAGAAAGTCGTGGCCAGCTTCATCGTAGAATCTGAATGGTCTTGATGACAGCGTTCCCATGGCATTCATTTCGCCAATACGGTATGCCAATCACCATCTCACTCGCCCATGAGTCATCCAAGGTGTTTTTGGCCTATCGTTTGAGCCAAGTAGACGCCGCCACAGTCATTCGGGGTTTGTTGCCCGTTATAGGTCACTTGAAAGTGGTTCTCAAATTACGATCGAGCACTTAAATCGAGCCGCAGCGTCTTCTATGTAATGGATCGACCATTTTGTCATGCACGGCCAGGCAGACTAATGACACTTGAAAACGCAGGCTCAGCACATGCAAACCGAAACCCTCCTTTTCTACTCCCCCCAAGTTTTAGAAGATCCTGGATCCGACTGAAGCTCTTCAAGGACGCGACGGATAACTTGAAGCGTTTTCACACTCACATTTTGCTGTGCGCTATATTCGGTTCCCTTTTCCTTACAGTAGAAAGGCTTCATAGTGTATAAATTATGTGTTGACATACAAGGAGGCCTCTTACGGACGTTTCCTGCTTTTGAAGTTTTTGAATAGAAAAATTCCTTATGGCTTTGGTTTCTCGTTTTCAGGACTCAACATGAGTCTAACAGGGGTACCATTAGTCACAAAAGAAATCCAAAATGTCCTATTGTCCCACAAGGTAAGCACTATGAGGTGAATAGGCTTTTCGCCCGCAGAAATGGACTAGCGGCCTCAAATGGTCCAAGGAATCAAGAAACAGGAAAAACGAAAAGAAGACTGGGCAGTTTATCAAAGAGGAGTGATGTGCAGCTGAGATCTTCTTAATCGCTGAAGTCAATTTAAATGGGCGGGACTTAATTGGCGAAACAGCGTCAAACACTTTGGCAATGATACTGCGATCATTCCATTGTATTTCGAGGAAAGTCCAAATAACACAACGAGAGGAGGTGTTTGTATAGCGAGAAGATTTAGAATGAAAGCAATCTGTCAACACAATAAAGCCCTCGTCAACAGTCTGATGTATTCCGGTACAAGCCATGCCCTGCAGGCCATATGAACTGAATTAAGTGCGATTAGAAGGGAGGTGACTTCCCGAAACAGAAATGGAAGCTCCATTTGTCAAATATTTGCTCAGAATTAATCGCCAGTGCACTGCTCGCCCATGTGTAGTGCAAATCAGGAGCGAATTTTTTCACCTATTTCGAGCTACGGGGCTCTCCGACAGCTCCAATGTGGACCAGATTCTGAGAACTGCGACGAAAACAGTTTTTTCGCCGGTTTGATTACTTAGCGGTGCTAGCACAGCAAATGTTTGTTGTTGACTTTCTGAATGGAACTGTTTTCTCAGTGATAAGACGTGGCCCTTCAGCACACGTTCCGGAAAAGGAATTCCGCTGTCCTGCACTTGGGACAGGTCTAATCCTCTCATGGCTTATCGTACATATTGGTGACTCTTTCTTAATGCTGTAGTGTTAAGCTGAGGTTTTTGATGAACCCTCGACCTTAGCTTCGCTTCTTAGTGCATGTACTATTCCCACAAAAAGTTCACTGAGTTCACCATTTGGAGAAGGTGGGTCCTAGTTTCACAGGATTACTGTTCCCATGTCTCTAAGGTACACTGGGAGAAGTATACCGAAGTGCACAATGGGTCTAGCATTGAGCAACCACCAGCCTATTCGCGGTAGTACTCCCCGGGAGTAGAGTAGGCAGGGCTTGGAGTACACAACAATGTGCAGGGCTGTTCAATTGCCTACTCCATTCACAAAAGACAAGCAAGCTGTGTCTCATCACCTACGCACCACAACTTGTTGCTTGTTTTACTCTCCTCGCATGAGTTTGTTGCCCATAGTTGTGTTTTGTTCCATCGAGTGTCCTCTGTCCCGCTCCTTTCATAGGCTATGATTGGGCACACGCAAAGGCTCATGGGCTAAAATGAATGGGTCGGAGTCGAACAAAGCACCAAACATTCCGATGCATCAGGCAGCACACGATTTCTCGGGTTGACATCGCGTGCGAAAGCCATCACCAGCAGCCATAATGGCGATCATGGTCAAACCGAAGGTCACTCGATCAACGTGGAAACCTCTCGTTTATCACGAAACTAATCATCACAACACAAATTCCCCCACACCGTCAGTCAACCGACGAAAACAGCTTTTATTGACGAAAAACGGCAATGTTCTGAAGGTTATGAGACGATATAAAAAATGAAAACGATCGACGAAATTTTTGCGCAGGTCGTTTGGCGTCCGAAAGGAAAGTTATCGAGTATACAGAACTGTAGCGGAGGGCAGATCACCACGAACCAAGAAGTGACCTCAGCAAGGACGTTTTTTTCGATTACACTGGGAAAACTGGAAGGCACATGAAAGATGGCGAACTCTGGTGGGAGCATATGGCAGCAAATATTTGGAGATGAGAAAACATATTGAAGGGTAGTCTATTGGATCGGTTCCAGCTTTATTTGAAATGCTTTTACTGCTATGACCCAGGCACGGTGAGGAAGTAAGTAAGCAATAGGTACTTGTATGCATTTATTTACAGGTTCAATTCATTCGAGCTCCACAAATTCTGTCAATATCGCCAGAACTGATATTACTTTTTGGATGCCAAATAAAAGCGTGAAAAATATGAAAATACTGAAAGCGGCGGCATATCTAGGCATCATTAAGACTTTCTTCCGAAGCCGAAGAAGTAGTTCGGGGGTAAAGAATGAGTGACATTGAAGGACGGGTTCATCTTGAAGCTGGAAGGTTGATAAGTAGACCAGCAGAGAGTGAACAACGGGCTAAAAATAACCGCAGATGGCTGAACCCAGTCATCAACATTGACCACTTACCTAGTAGGCAATTTATGCGGACGCATTACCCAGGTGACCACCACAGCACCCGTCATTCCATGTCGCCATCAATTGGAGCCGCCATTATGGGAAACAAGGGCAACCATGAGCAAGTTAGTTAAAAATTGACAGGACACTGCTTGGAGGAATCGGTCAAAAAGCACAAAGGGCCGACTTTGACAGAAATGCAAAGAATGCTTCGTTTCCAAAGAATTTATGGGAGTCGTCGAGATTTTATGTGACCCTATGCTTTGAAAAGCAACGTACCCGACATCACGGTTCTATTGCATGAAAAAGTTACGGTACCGAGAAATGCCCGATTACGGCACGAAAAATCTATTCTAAACCTTTTTCGGTTGGAGCAGAGACAGAAAAATGATGCGTTTTAATAGAGCAAGCCGCTCTGGACGGTAGGTCAGTTGGGGAGTGGGATGGTCCAGCAGACATAGATCGTATTTGAATGGGCATTTGCATAAGACCGACACTACATTTATAGCGACGATTAGCTGAACCATGGAAATAGGGGCACAGTTTGCCAAGATGGGCACAGCAGCCCTGTGAAGACTACGCCGCTGAGCCCGTTTTAACAAAAAAAAAAACTACCCAATAAGAGTTTTCAACCATCTCAGTTAGGACAATTCTATAGACTGGATGGTGTAAACGCTAAGTATAAAAGGTAACTAATGTAAGTGCTAGTATTGCGTATGGAAAAACAACAGACTCGCTCACAAAGCAACCAGGCTCAAAAGGCAGTCTGAAATTCGTACGGCAGCTGCAGGACAAAGATCAAAGCATGTTTTTAGTGTGAAGTTTGAAACAAATGAGCAAAAATCTCGAGAATGAGTTAGACGACAGAGTGCGACTTTTCTGAGACGGATGTTCGAAGGGCATCGTAGAGCAATAGCGGTACCCCGGCTTCCAAGAGGACCAGGGAGCCATGGTTCAAAGTCATCAACCTTTAGCAGACATGAAGCCAAGCAAAAGCACTTCATTCTGGATTTTTAATGAATACTGATGAACCAGGGAAATGCCGAGACCGAATATACAGGCGATACTCCTACAATTGCTCCCATATGACTTTTTGTTTAACTACCGCCGCTCCCCACACTTCTTGAGCCAAATATCATGGAATTGAAGCCCATTTCGAGTAAACTTTCAGTCCTGAACAAAACATCAACTTCTCACTTGAATGCTCATGAACCAGGGAAATGCCGAGACCGAATATACAGGCGATACTCCTACAATTGCTACCATATGACTTTTTGTTTAACTACCGCAGCTCCCCACACTTCTTGAGCCAAAGATCATAAAATTGGAGCCCATTTCAAGTAAACTTTCAGTCCTGAACAAAACATCAACTTCTCACTGATGAGAGAGATATTTGGTGAAGACGGGAGGTGAGATGGTGCAATAGAAAGTCACGCTTGTCAGGTGCGATCTCTTACGGCTCCCACAGCGTTCCGTATTTGCCCAGGCAACAAATGCTGCTTGGCTGAGGTTGCACTCTTTCAATGGAAGAATGGAGCCGGTGATGACAAACACGACCTCATGCTCAGGACCACATACCCAGCTTTACAATTGCAAGCTGTTTCTACACTTGTGACTGCTCCTAACCTTAGCCCCTTCTTTCGAGTAAGCGACAGAAAGAGCACTTCCCTACTCGAGTATTCATAAACTAAAATACGGAAAACTGAACCAAAATCATCTTGTCAGGGAAAAAACAGTCGAATTGTTGTTCTCTCAAAAAGGGCAGTGTCGAGTTCCCGCACCAGTGAGTCAGGCTTGAGCGCAACCAACAGAAGAGCTTACACGAAAAGGAGGCTCTCCAATTTAGAGTTTGTGAAAGTCGCTAGTTCACAGGATTCTGGTAGCTCTCGCAGAAATCTTCCGAAATTCGTCGTATTTTGAAATCTTCTTCTCGGAAGCGGCTTGATAGCTTTTATTTATAGAGATCGGTAGGCTTTGTAAGAAAAACACTCAATGAAATCTCTACAATTATAATGATCTAAGAAGGAATGAAATCCAGGAAGTTAGAAACCAAAATTTCAGATAGAAATTCAAAAAAGTAGCAGAATGAACAGACAAAAGAAATTGTAGTTGTACGGTGTTCGAGATAGATTGCCTTTATAGGTGAGTATGGCAAAAACTCAATTTCTAGTCTTCTTACTCTACCGAATCGCCCATGAACTCGTTAGAAGTGGCGGTGCCTCAGCCTTTCTGGCTGTGGCCGAATTCCGACTCGGTAACTGTGGCGGAGAATGTCAGTTACTGCACTGAAAGCGTGGTTCTCACAGGCCAATTCCAAATTAGTGACCCTCAAAGAAATTTCAACTTTGGCGCGGAGGGCGAATTGGCTGTGTTCACTCTTCTATGATGAAATGAGGAAATACAAAAAAAATTGGGCTGGTCAAGTAGAGCCGGAAGAAGAATGGATGCATATCTGCACAAATGCCAAGTAGCAACTGAAGTCAAGAGAAGACAGATGGAATCGAAGGAGAAAAGCCACGACGAATGTTTGGGAGCCAGGAAGATTAAGGTGTCTGAGCTGTTTCCCTTGAACCGGAAAGGAAATGTACTCAGAAACCGGGTTAGCTCTTTGATGACGCAAGAGTTCCGGGGAGGGTGGATGGATGAATGGGGTGTGGGATCGCTAGAAGACACAATGACTAGCTATTCAAGCTCCGCTAGCGCTCTTGGAACAAGGAAGCAAGAACAATATACACGTGCTCGTAAATGATCTCGAAAGCGAAATGGGAGCGAATTGTAGAGGGAAAAGAACTTAGGAATGGTTGCGAATGCGTAGAAAGTCTGTTCACTACCCATATAAGGGAGGAGAAGTGGGAAGGAGGCGTTCGCCCTTACGGAAACGTTCCAATTTCCAGCTTCTCCCACAAAGCAAAACGGCAAACATGGGCGACAATTGAGAAGCGAGAAATTGAGACCGCTGGGAGTCGCGGGCACAAACCACCACGTCGCGCTCGTTTGCTCATCGGCTTCCACATCCAAGCAACGAACAGCTGAGGATCCTCAACGATGATTGTACTTCGAATCAGCCACGGCTAACTGGAATTTTTGTCCGATTTGAATAAATAACTACTTATGCATCAACATCACACAGTGCTCTGAACCGATATTTTACGAAATTCCTTACCGTTGGATTCTCTTAAAAATCTGTCTGGAGCGCTGCAATGGACTGATAGACAAGTCCCTATGCCTCATTACGGACGTGCTGGAATACATCACGATATACCAAATCCACCTACTCCAACATTACGCAAGCCCATGGAACCTTCCGTTCTCGGAACATCAGCGGACTGATACCAAATATGTAGTCTAGAGAGAAAAGACAGTGAGCCGCTTGTCAATCAAATCGGGACTTGAGGGGAAAGAATGAGGGTGAATGAAGAGCTTCTGAAGAACAGTTGCTAAGTGTCTGTGTCTTGACGAGTTCATCTTCCATATCAGAGTAGGGTTTTTTTCGATTCACGAAATTCGACAGTTTATTGAATTGCCTTCTAACAGAGATTCCCTTTCCAGCCCCTTTTCAGGTCGAATAGACTTTGGGTAATACCTTAACAACTTTTGAAGGGGTGCATCACGTAGTACGATCAGGAACTTCCGTTTACTTATTTGAACTTTCATATCTATAGTGCAATAGAGGGAAATCCAAGGCTGTGAGTCACAATACGGTGCCAATTGAGTAAGGAAATGAAAAGGAAAGCAGTCGGTGCTATCCGATTGTCATCTACCCAAACCACCGACCGTATCTCTTTTGGATGTATCATCTCACAATCAGTCAGCGAAAAAAAGTCAAAGAGCAGCGTAAATATTTGAACACCTTTCCAGGAAACTGCCATCCCGAATGATTCATGTGATCACGGGAAAATCCATACGTAAAGCAACGTCGCAGGGTAGGAAAGGTAGAAAGGAACTGAAGAAATATGATTCACATTCAAGAAATCAATTTTGAGTCAGAAGAACGAGAAAAGAGATCAATCACCATAGCAGGACCTTTTCAGTGAATGCTACTTGACAATTATCCTACTATATATAATATATGGAACATAAATATTTCAAGGGAAAGAGGCGAAAAGGCAGGTGGCGCACTATCGCACATGGTGGACCTCGGTTCAATTTCGGACCGATTCTCGCCTTTTCCAACAAGGCCTTCCATCCTCCCGAGATTGGTTCGTTGGCACCAGACATGCCTGCGAGGGTAAAGGCCCTGGCTAAGTTGAGCGGATACCAAGTGAGCAATTGGAGGTGTTTCTGCCTTTTTCACTTACTTCACTGTCGATTTCACTTTACCTGCGGGTTATTTGTGAATATCTCTTTCTTGGTAATAAATGTAGTACTAACTGCTACTTCTGCAGAGACGAACGGTNAGTAAGGCCAGCTCAGGAACATTTTAATCTACAAGAGGGATTCGCTCCATCTCCATTAAGCTTACTATTTAGGTCTTCATAAATTTGAAATGAATATCCTTGAATACATGATTGGTACTGCACTACTTTTCCGCTACAGTATCCCACCATCTAACTATTTGAACTAGATTCGCTAATCTTCGAAAATTTATGTTGGGCAGCCTATTCTTGTTAGTTTGCTATACTTTTTTACGAGTCCCTTTCCTTCCCTTGCTGTTAGGTGTTGGGTTATTTTTCTTTCTGTTCCGCTGCATTGGTGTTCAATCTCAAACGGTTTCTTCGCTGCACTCTTCGACCTTGTTTTTTGATGAATAATTTAACAAGCTGGAGTCAAAGCTCCTAAAGCTGAGTATGATTTGTATATGCTCCGAGGTGTCTGATAGAATACTTTTCTCGCAGAATATTTCTTGGGCAGTAGCCGGAAACGAGTAAGAGTTCGCTTTCTTACGGTAGGGTAGACCAACTACGACTACCGTACTTTCAGAAAGAGTGGTTCATCAAGCTTATCTACTTGAATCTGCCAATTCCTTTTTCACGGGCCCTTGGACGACTTCAGTGCAAGAGTCGGAGAACTTTATGCCGTCAGGCCATAACAACAGCTGCACAATTTGGGAGTGTCTAGGTCAAGCTTTTTACTAAGAGACTAGTTCGATCGAAAAGATAAATACCGGATATGCACTTGGTTTTTTGCCTTACAAACGTAATGATTATTGCTGAATCTTTAATCATTAGTGCTTTAATCATTGCCATTTCAGAACAAATTTGGATGACCTTCGATAGCCTCAACCCCATCAAATGTACCTACACACTGTCAGAGCAATTGGCTCGATACACTTCAGGCGACCGAGAACTTCTCAGTGTGGAGATCCCAATTCCTCAGCCAGAATATTCCGATGTCGATGAATATGTGGCGGTTTTTGGTGGACGGGGTCTGCTTGATGTTGTTGACGAAGTGGGTACGTCGATCTTCTCACCAATTGCGGTACGATATAGACTTCTTTATATGCAATGCTGTTCAACGCCTCGACGGTTCTTGGCTTGGTCCTCTGATGCCTTCCTTTCGGGCAGTTTCAAAACCATAAGGCTTGCTCCTTTCAGTTTTCCGGCTTAGCTTTATTCTTAAGAACTGCGGAAGGAGTTGACCAATTTCATACGAGACGAAACACAAAAATATCAAGACGAGATGGACGATTCGCTTATTCTTAATGCATTGGAGTCTGGCTTCGAGTTACCAGATATGGATAACAACCAGACGGTGAGTATTAGTTATAGTTACCAGTATATTTTGGTTTATCAAACTGGTGTTCGAGGTGGAAAGTGTACCGTTTCCATCCACATGGTTCCGGAAAGAGCCCGTTCAGGCCATCCCAACCTTCCAATCCCTTGCAGTTGCCCCTTACTAGTGCATTGTTACCCACTTGCTACTGCAAACTACTTTAACAGTTGGCCCGCCTGTCTCTGAAGACCACGGCCATTTCATCGAAACGGTGTGCACTCGCCTGCGTTTTGAGAGTTTTATGGAAAACATCATAGCTAGCCTCACGAGGAGTGACTTGTATTTTGCCATGCTTCCAATATTACCAAGGGTCACTGCCTTCAACATGTAACCTTCTACGGTAACTATGCATATTGCAGTTTGTGTTGGATCCTTCCGAGATCTTTGCCAACAAGTTTTCCTTCGTCATGCAAAACTCTTCTTGCCAAGAATTAGGTGAATTGATGCGAAGGCAGATAGCCATGATCAATGAGGTGAGTTCATGTGAGCCCTGGTGTTCAGCTTTCTGGTTTCCATCATAGTATTATTTTTCCTCTGTTCTGCTTTTTTTCAGATGAACCAAATTATTCGAGTAAGGAACTGGGAAGTTGCGCAGTTAAAACACAAGTGCGAAAGTGCCGTTAACGATGCTTCTTCCAATAAGGACGTCCATCCCCATGAACTTAGCAAGCTCAACGAAAAACTCAGGGTTAGCAACTCCCGCGTAATTTCTTATTCTTTAATGTTTTTTGTGTAATAAATCGATCAACGAAGGCATATCTCAGAATCTGCACGCCTCTTACGCTTGCCAAGTAGAAGGTCTTAGTGAACGACAAAGGAAAGAGTTCAGGTAAAGCCACAACCACCATATTCCTTCCCTTGTTGACCGAAATGTAATGTGATATATCTTCTATCTCCCTCAGTCCCACAAAGTAATAGTAGTACGACTTTTCATTGAATCATGTGTGCTCTGCTTCAGGGATCTAGTTGACATCTTGTATGGAGGTGAAAGCATCTTAGAAGTGCCAAGTTTGGTTGACGAAAGCGCTTTTAGGTGAGAATCCTTTGCAATTACGATTATAAGCTATTTTCTAAAGAGTTGTTCATTAAAGTAGAAGCTCGCAAAGCAAGGCCGATAGAATCGAGGACTCCAACGAAGACGCATTGAATGAAAGCTATACAATCTATATAGGTATGTACCCATTGGTAGATAAGCTAGTCTCTTACTGTTCAAACGTTCAAATACACCTTGTAACAATCTTTTTTGTTGGTTTTGTTACAAACAAATCAGGTGGTGATCATTTCACGTCGCTTTCTCCTGTTTGATTAGGGAAACTTTTGAAGTACCTGACTCTTCACAAGGACCGAAGGGTAACTAGACGATTAAGGGCAATTTTCGTAAACACACGTCCATTATAGTCTTATTGCTCACTACGTTTCCCCTTCATTAGTTGTCGCTAAAACTTCTGCTCATATCAACTCCTCTACTATCGTATCCTCTCCTCATGACATGACTAAAAAGATTCTTTACAGTTTTATTCATCAGGATACCTAGTGTAATGCTTGATTCATATGAGATACTCTTAAGAAAAGTAGCTTCTGCATTGTAGGAGCCCAGCTAAAGTCAATGCACAACGTCAGGCTTTTAACGGCCAATTCAATGGTGGAACTTTGCACACCTGTTAAGGTGATTACAGATTTATGGACATTACTAGTAACCATTTTAGCCATTTCTATGTGTTCAGGGTATCGATGTCAGCTCACTGCTACAAATGTCCATTTCGCTTTATGGGAAACAGTTGAGTGGGCTAGTTATGCTGGTGCCTCGCGATCCAATGTGGCACTCCAGCAGTGCATCAGGTGCACATTTCATTTCAACAAATTGTTTCTATTCAGAAAAGCAAAGTTGTTTTATATTATTTATATCTCTGCTGTGTTTCTTTAGAATTCGCCCGTGTCTGTGAACAGTCGACAGAGCTCCACTTCGATCCGCTACCGAAACAGCTGAAAGGCATCGTCGATTCGGTAAGTCCGTTTTTTTTTCAGATCACTTTGACACCTAGCTCGAAATTTCTTCAACGACCATTGGTTTTCGGCTGTCAGAGCAAAGTGTTGGAGAGAAGAATCTGCATCAGAACGAATGAAAGCTAAGAAATCAAAAGAGGTCATCAAAGAAACACTTGATACCGCTTTAGAAGTTGGAGATGTGTACTGCACGCGTCATTCAAACCTAAGAGATGTTCAGGTAATTACACAAACAACTTCTCACGTCAGGTGTGTGTTTCACAATTCCATAGGTGTTTGAGTGGTCGCCGTATTGTGGATCGGTTAGTCACATAATGTATTTAGCAAAGCTTGAGTTGAGTTTTACGTTAGGTTTTTTTCTAGTTTTCCCTGAATTCCATTAGAAAGCAGGCGTTTTCACATATTTCTGCATTTCAGCTAGTATTTCACCTAGTTGTAGACGACACTCTTCAGTCGGCGGATTTGTCAAGTCGGTAAGGTTTCTCGGATAATTTTGCTTTTGCCCTTCTCTACTGTTGCACTCTAGCCATCCGTGCCTTAACGGTATACGAAACATCATTCGTCTCACTGTGCGACTTGGCATCACATCCATCCACATCCCATTGCTTTTAGTGGAACAAGCCTCGGAGGTATGCAAAAGCGCTTCTTGTAATTACCAGTTAAATGGCTACAAATCACTGAAGAAAAACCAAATGCAAATTGAATTGTCAAATTTCAGAATATGACTATTGCCTGGTGTGTGCGGCGGGCAGAGATGGTCTACAAATGTGTTAAGGGCTACTTAATGGAGGTCGGTACAGTATCGTTACAAATTTTCTCAAGACCTCTTAAGAAGAGAAACTGGTATAATCACCTGATGTAATCATGCCATCGTCTACTTCTCACTGTAATTTTGTCATATGATAGGGCAAGTCCTTCAAGCAGTATGTTTCTTCTTTGCTGCTTTTATTGGAGATAGGAATGTCAGGGGCCTGCATGGTCACTATTTTTGCTGGGAATCATATATAGGATTACCACCGAGAAATTACTTGATCTCATCATCTTCTGATATCAAAAGTGAAGCTACCATAAGGATGCGCCGTGGCGATTGAACTACTTTGAGTTTAGAGTTCAGAAGTCTAATTTATATTCAGTTCAGTAAAGTTTCCCTCATTGGGGTCCTGTTTGTGGAGTTTTTGTTTAAATGAGGATTATAATAGTATGTTATTATCCTTTTACAATCTCCTATCATTTGATTGACAGTTCATCGCCAAAGTACTCATTGTCTACTCATTGTCAGGGCTGCAGCTAACCAGTAACCTACTAATACACTTTCAGGTGTGTGGCGTTTGTGGGGGTTCTGCGGTTGGCGGAGGTGTAACCAGTGTTCCGCACTTCAATATTCACCTAGTCCTGCCTTCAGGACTTGCAGACGGGGTATATCAACAAATATCAGCAATGTTTCCCACGATTTTTCATCTTGTTCCAAGTGTATCAATGGCTGTACAAGAACCTTAGATTAGCCATCATTGCCATCTATCTTCACTTTTATCCCTCACCCACCTTCGGTCTTTAAAAGAGCTTGATTTATGCATACATTTTTTCACAAATACTTCAAAACACATTGGCCTTCGTTGTATAGGATTTGTCATCGGCGATGTTGTGTTCTTTGTTTATTTGAAAACGCATAACAATCTGTGATATTATAAGTGATGAGTATGTTTGAAGGTGTCATAAATTTCTTGATAACCTTTTCTATCATTGTAAAGTACAAGTTGTTCTTTTCCTTATTTGTTCCTATCACATTTGAAATGTTGTCCGACCTTCCGCGGGCGTTGTCCATTCTCGTCTCCCTGAGCCGGTTTTTTTCGCTTCTCATTTTCCATTTCAATTAGTTCCATTTCTCTCTAATGAGAACTCCGCTCAAACGGTAGCAATTTACTGTTTATTTACGATTTCCTTATTATGCGAGCAGAAAATGTGATCCTACTATGCAACTTTTTGCAGGGGCCCGTTTGTGCCACTGGCCGCACGTTATCCATCTGCACATCGACGTGCTTCCGACTCTTACAATTCGGAAGACGAAAGTGATATTGTTGCAGCGATCGCTTCCGTTGCAATTTCCCCTAACAGCGATCGCGCTATGCAACCAGAAATAAATAACTGTGATGACCAATGCGAGCTTGCAAGCACGTAAGTATTCTTGGTATTGCTCTTATTATAATTAGAAGTAGCTCTTAGATTTCCTCATGGAACCTCTGCCAAAATGTAAATTTTATTCGGCTCACGTTTCCGCCCGCTCCCGTTAGGACATGGGAGCCAAAAAACGGTGTCGAGGCTGCCCAAGAACATATCTAATACGTCGTCAGAGTATCATGCCAAAGTTCACCCAAAGTCGAACATGATCTCTTCTAAGTAAAAAGTTTCATTTGCAACGCTAGCGTTTTTCAGAGAAGACGAGTACACATGCAGTGATGCTGGAGCTTTTTACCTGAACAATGAAGATAAACCGAAAAAACTTGAGGTTTACTTATCTTCCCACTACTTTTCTCTTCTGTCCGGAACTTATATCAGTTCTTGTGATTATAAAAGGCAATATACTCTGACTCGTCGAATTCTCGCAACCTCATTCATTTAGTTGATTTGGCCAATTTCTGTTGCACTATCAACATTGCATCTAGTATTGTCATCTTTTAGTACCTTACATTCACGCCTGACAGCCTGAACCATATCGGCCGCTTGACAGCGGCAGAGGCACGAGACAAGTATACCCAAACGGGTGAAAACTTCAACTTGGCTTTCAAGTTGGTGAGCGAGGATTGTTTCCTTGTTTAGTTGGGAGTGGGATTTTTGCTAGTCTTGTCTAACTTTATTTCCTTGTAGGTGAATAGCGACACAAAGTTGGTAAAAACAGTCCTTCATAGCCATGGCTTCACACAGGTGACAACTTGAGTCTTTCCGTCTGCTTCTAGTTTTATTTGAGCTAATTTTATTCTTGCTGTTCTCTGCTAATAGATCGAAGTTTTCAGTGCTCACGGAAGAATCCATTGTTCAACATTCTTTGGTGTGGTTCTGCAATGCGAGCAACTCTTATGCGTAATATAAAACCATGGTTGGTTCCGTTTTCATTTTTTTAGTGGCTCATATGCAGTCTTATGACTTCTCCCAACCCTTATAAGTTGACTCTCCTCGCAAACCTAAGTGGACAAAAGAACATTAAGAGGGTCAAGACCATGTCCTCCTAAATAACAACACTTTCAAATTTCCTGTAGTTCTGCAGGCAGCGCCTCAATCAGTTCCCAAAATCGACTGAACTCACGCGAAAGGACAAACTTTATGATAATATAGCGCGATCTGCTGGCCTATTTGGCGATGCATTTGATTTCGTAAGTTCTCACGTACTTCTTTCATAACTGACTGGCAATGTACTTATCTTTGTTACATGCTAGTAGCTCTACTATAATATAATAAGAAACTTTATTGTCAGATTCCGGAATTTTTTGTGACCCCTCGAGATATATTGCTTTTGGAGAAGGCTGTAAAGCAATCAACGGCAGATTCCACATTTATTGTAAAGCCTGTGAGCTCTTCTCGAGGACAGGGCATATTCTTTGCGAGTACGGTACGATTACTGAACTGTGGCTCCGATTTTTTTTCCAATTTCTTACTGTATCTTTTTTCAATGCTCTACCCTAAAACTGTTTAATCTGTTTAGTCATGCTCCATTGTGATACATTTTTTGAAGGAGCTTGTGCAGTCGGATTAGTTTTGCTCCTTGACTTGTGGTAAGTATATGTACGGTGTTATACCCGCGAAATGCGGCCTGGGATTGTCGCAATGATGCTTCTCCTCTCACTGTTAGGTGGAGAGAAAGGAATTTAGAAAACCATGAACTCCCTTCGTACCTTCACAAGCTTTTTTTTNTTTTTTTTAAAGCTTCTTATCGACTGATTAGAAGTCAAAGTATCCCTTATAATTATTCTCAACAGAATCGGTCTTGTCATGAATCATGTTCTGAGGCGCCTAAAGACAACCTTTCAAACAACCGTATCTTCTGAAAAATGGTTTTGTCAATTTTTTCAAGAAAGACTCCTTGAGGCTCATCTGTTCTGGGATCTTCGAGCAGGGAAAAGGCCGTGAAAGAAAATGCATATGAACAGAAAAGTTAAAGGGGATGCCGAGATGATTGAGGTACATGAGCTCTGGAAAAATGTCCAAAGAGCGGCTTTACTTCGTCAACTGAATTAGTTTCGGAGATTTCTTTCAATCTTTACATTTATTGTCGATTTCTTTCTACCTGAAAGCGGAAGGTCCCACAGTTTAAATACGTTTAAATTTCAGTTAGAAGAAATCCCAAAGGCCGATACGTTGCTGGTTTCACGATATGTGGAGAATCCTTTGTTGGTGTATGGACATAAATTTGATCTTCGGATCTACGTTGCTGTCACTTCCTTCTATCCTCTAATTGTCTATGTTTACTCGGAGGGACTAACCCGGTGAATATTAGTTGTTATCAAACGAGTCGTGACAGTTAAATCTGAATGATCTGAAGTCATCAATCCTGTTTTAGAGTAGCATCAGAAAAGTACTGCAGTGAGCTAGATTCCCGAGATGCTTTTATTCACCTCACCAATTATTCTATCAACAAAAATAATTCGAATTTTGTACGGTGAGATTTTATAGCCTAAAATTTTTTTCTCTATACATGCAACCCGATTGATGAGGATGGATATTTCAGAAATGAAAGTATGGCCAGCGAGGACTTTGGACATAAGTGGACTTTAGGCGCTCTGCTACGCCATTTGGAAAAGGATAGGATTGATTCCAAAAGTTGGTCGATTTGCACTAGTTTGAATTAGCACTGAAATGATTTTTCTCGGCTGGTTTTCCCTTCTTTTTGGGGCTTTACCTACAATCGACCTTTTTGAACTACCAGTTATCTTAGTGATTTTCGTTTTGTTCTTTTCTTTGGTGGATATAAATTGCTATCTTTTGCTATTCATGAGCGTTTTGAATTCAAAACATCTTAGCGGTAGGGTAATGTCTCAGTTGTTTTGGTCGGCCCAAAAGTATCATTACGATTTCAGTGTTGATGCTGCGGATTGAGGATATAATTATAAAAAGTCTCCTTTCTGTACAAACACGTATCACATCAGCATGTCGCACTTCAACTCCCTACGTGGGAACGAATTTCGAGTTGTTTGGCTTTGACATCCTTGTGGACGCAAAACTTAAACCTTGGCTACTCGAAGTCAATCTTTCCCCAAGTCTGTCATGGTGAGTGCCACATTTGGGTTCGCTCTTTTTCCAGGGTTCGTTGACATAGAGTTTCGACTTTGTAGTTCCTGTGTCTTAATTATTGTAGCATTTCGACTCCAGTTCTCTTTTCCAGCGACGCTCCTTTGGATTCATTAGTTAAGACCAGGCTTATATGTGACCTGTTCAACCTCGCATGTGTACCTCTAGTGAATCGTAAACTTGCGGGAATCGAGCAAGTCCGTGCTAGTCGAGACGAGAGCTACGGTCTGTTTTTGTCCTGGTAGATAGTATCTCTCAGGTAATTCACTTAATTCTTGTAGATTCGGAGGAAATGGAGTCGATGACGGAAAAGAGTAAGAGACTCATCAGCCCAACAAAACGTGTTCTTACTACTAAAGTTGGTACACCTTATTTTTACATTTGTATTCCCATCATTACTTTCCAGTAGAGTGTTTTAGCGGCGACGTCCTATGCGCAATAACTTCAGCATCGTGCCTGGAGGCAACGATCCAAGAATGCGTTCCATATGTCGTCGAGCTAGAGCAGAAATGTCTCGACGCGGTGGTTTTGTCCGTATTTTCCCACGCGAATACAGTCTGCCATTATACAGGTCACTTTTGATTAATTAGACTTATTTGGTGGTTTAGTAGTTTTGCATAAGCTTTCCGTCCCTGCAATTTTCTGATTGCAGTTTTCCTTTCATGCTCTGAACCGGTCGATATTGAGTAAATTTCCAAAAAATCACTTAATTAATTATTGAATTCTGAGAGAAGCTAGTGAATCTTCGTTTCCGATAACGAGGTAGAAAGAGACGGTCTGGGAACGTTCCGTGGATGTTGAACAGTGCCTGAAAACTCTACCAGTATTAAAACTAAGCTTCATCTTTCATGCTCGGTTTTGCGGTTTATGTCTGTATGTTGTAATTTCGTATCGGCCTGAGAGCAAAATTTAAATGGGTTGAAGTCGGCGAATTCTCATGAAGAACTTGAGGTTATGGGTATGGAATGTATTGGTTTTCATAGTTCAGAAGTGTTATGGAACGTGTCGGGTCGGAGAAACGGGATGAACGCTTATACGTCAAAGAATATGGCTTCGATGAGGACGTAGAATCGGAGAGCGAGAATGACCTACCTCATTTCTACCATGAAGTGATGGTAAAAAGTGCATTGGTAAGGTTTCGCTGTTCTGGCTGTTTTTTTGGGTATACAGAAGAATAAGAGGTTCTGCATTCATTCTGCAATAATTTCAGTACCCATCATTGGAATCGGTTCCTTCACGTTTGCGCGATATTCTAAGGGAATGGCATAGTTCTGCGAACGCATATACGCAGCGAATAACGAAAGACGGGGAGACGTATGCGGGTGAGTATTCTCCCATCTTTTGACCTTTTTCCATTGTTTTCATGGAAATGGGGTATGATGTGGCTGTTCACCTGCCTACCATTGTGCCCTCATAACAGTAGCAGGCTCATATTCCTTACGATTTGGTGATGAAAGTCATCTCCTGAGCCCTCCGGGTCTGATATTTCGCTGTTGATCTCCCGATTCCCTATGATGCTTCTACTCCTTGGTTAGTTTACCCTTGGTTTTTTTGTTTTTCCTTCTAGTATTTTGGCATGACACTTTTTCGCCAACCTGCAGGAAATACCTTCGATTGCTCTAGAGTAGTCTTCTAGGGCATGCTTCAAGATCTCATTCTTCAGGGCCAACGGAGAATAGATTTGCTTGCGTTGTGAATGAACTGTTTTTCCATTTTCATTGAGCTAATAGAGTCTCTTTGTAGCTCGATTACCAGTCGTCCGACCGTCAGCTCGTCTCCGGACCAAAAGCTGTTCTGAGTGGTATGAGGTAAAGAAGGCTATGGTAGCAGAAGCGAAATTGAAACAGCAGCTACAGCAAGAGGCGCTTCGATCGGAGGAGAAACGAGGGTGAGAACCTGTCTGAAAAATGTGTTCCTAATCATACGCTGTTCATGTTGGAATAGAATTTCTTGTTTTCGTTACCTTTTCTCGACTTCTGATTACGAGCTTACTGAATTCAAACTCTAACATAAGTTTATTATGGTTTCAGACGTGAGAATAAAGAAAATGCCATGCCATCTCCCGTTCCGACGACTTAGTCATACAACCGTAATATAGAAGATTTGATTGAAATTAGGTGATGACATTGTTGTTTGTTGTTGTTGTTCTGTAACAAGAGGCCCCGTTGAGTCAGTTGAACTCTTTTTGATGAGGTATTTCACTGGTCATTTCTCTTAAGTTGTGATTGTATTACTTTCTGGCTTTCTCTTATAGCATTCTCCTTTCATTTTTCCGAGTTTTATTCTCCGATTACCAGTGTCTCATTGAAGTTGTGATTTCGACTCATTCTCTTTCTGTGGTCAGGCTTTGCTCCATTCGTTTTTGATACTTCAGGGCTGCCTCTTGAACGCCACTTTCTTTTCAACGTTTTATTAATGTTTACCCTTGCTTTTCTTTGAATCTTGTGATTATTTTTTGAATCATCGAATGAAATTTCTACGACTGGGTGATTATATTATCAGCGTTTATACTTAGCGATATTGCGTTTATACTTAGTGATAGTGCGTTTATACTCAGCGAAAAAGCGTTTACTTTGCATTTGGGCTTAGGGGAAATACATTTATACTAAGCGAAACAGAAATACATTTATTCAGCGTTTATACTTGGCGATATAGCGTTTTTACTTAGCGAAAGTGCATTTATATTTAGCGGAAGTGCGTCTCTACTAAGCGGTAGTGCATTTCTATCAAGCGAGGGTATGTTTGTGCCAAGCGATATTGCGTTTATACTTAGCGGAAATGCGTTTATTCTAAACGATGTTGCGTTTATACTTGGCGAAAGAGCGATTATACGAAGCGATATTGCATTCACACTTAGCGAAAGTGCTTTACTCAGCAATAGTGCGTTTATCTGAGCGATATAAGATTGAACAAGTGGCTATGAACGGAAAAGCTGATGGATATTGGAAAGTCGAACGTTCTCGTAGACATCAAATAATGTCTGTAAAGCTCGGAACTAGTAAAAAAAA